TTTCTTCACCATTCATATAAAAATAAGAAGATGTGGTATAATTGCCAATGAGACAACACCCCACCAGAGACTAAATCTTAATAACATAGAAGTCTACTATAGGTCACCGTACGGCCTTCTACCATGAGCAAAACCCATTAGGCATAGTCAGCTATAAAAGCAATGAACTAAAAACAAATATGATATACAGCAACAAACGACAACCACTGAATTACAGGCTCCTGACTTGGGACGGGACACAGAATGTGGCGGTGTTAAACATGTTTGCGGGTGTCCAACTCTCACCCTTACATGGGACAGTGGTGTAACAGCAAAACATTTGAACAAACTATATACATAAGTTGAAAAGAGCTTAACTCATCAGATCGATACAAAGCAGACAATCAAGTAACCAAAAACACAGACCGGACGTGGCAGGGTATTTATTTATTCATCCACACAACAACAACAAAAGACACTAAGTACAGATCTGAGAGCTAGTTCAGAGCTACTAAATAATCATGTATCTAAGACTAAAATATCAATCAGTATACATCCAACATCCAATGGATTTAGTGTAAAGACGTCAATAACAGTCAGAGAAAAACATGATATTGTATCCCATTGACTACACCATTCAGTTCCCATAGACTATACCATTCATTTTCCATAGACTACAGAATTCAGTTCCCATTGACTACACTATTAAATTCCAATTGACTACACCATTCAGTTCCCATTGACTACACCATTCAGTTCCCATTGACTACACCATTCAGTTCCCATTGACTACACAATTAAATTCCCATTGTCTACACCACTCAGTCCTAATTGACTACACCATTCAGTTTCGATTTACTACACCATTCAGTTCCCGTTGACTACATCACTCAGTCCTCATTGACTACACCATTCAGTTCCCATTGACTACACCATTCAGTCCTCATTGACTACACCATTCAGTTACCATTGATCACGCCACTCAGGTCCCATTGACTACACCGCTCAGTTCCCATTGACTACACAATTAAATTCCCATTGACTACACCATTCAGCTCCCCTTGATTACACCGTTTCTTGATCACACCGTTCAGTTCTTTGACTGAACCATTTTGTTCCTTGACTACACCACTCCATATCCCCATGACTACACCATTCAGTTCTTTAACTGCAGCGTAATTTCAATTTTTGATTAACCTACACCGCAAAATTTTACACCCGCTAAGGTATATATATCTTCGAATGACATCAACTACATGTTACGACTAATAAATAACTTGTTTACCTCATTTAATCGAACGATATTCACTATGAGTATTTGGTCACCACATTTCGTCGGCTTATCATTATGTGTAATTGGTCACCATATTTCCCCAATAATTATTCTGGCGTTATCTTTCCTCAAATGACATTCACTTCGATTTTTCAATTGGTATCTTGTCCTTCTTCATGAATCTGGATAAAAGATGTGGAGTATACTTCTATATGATATACAAATAAGGATATGACCTTTTTAATGATTATAGGCAATCGTGCGGCCTTCAACAATGAGAAAAATAACATACACTATAGTCGGCTATAAAAGGCCCCGACATGAAAACTATGAAACAATTCAATTGAGAAAACTAAGGGCCTAATTTATAACAAAATAATTTACGACAAACTAATATGACAGAAATTAACCAACGACAACCACTGAACTACAGGCTTCTGACATGGGACAGGCACATAAAAAATGTGTCGGATTTAAACTAGTTTGCTGGCGCCAAACCTTCCTCCTAACTCCAAATGACTCACAGTAAAGAAAATATATCTAGACGTCAACATACGGTCTCAACATTATAGAAACAGGTGTCTATACAAGATGTCCGACTCTTAATCGGTCTGAGTGTAAAAATATAAATTTAACTGAAATGATTAAAGATATGCCATCAACACCATATTTCCAAACCGACAAATTATTCACATAAAACAAAAGACAATCACTTCAAAAAAACCAACTATCGTCTTTCCTCTGGATGATTTACTATATTAACGAGATAACCATTTTTCATTTTAAAAATTTTCCAATTACAGATATTATCCAATTTCATCGACTTTATATAACTGTCTGTTCTTTGGTGAGATTCAAAATGAATACTTGATTAACAATCTGATAAAAACCAGGTCGTTAACGCGTGTATTCCGTTGACAGAACAAATCCAAAGGAGCAGAGTAAAATATCTGATTTGAATCAGATTGCTTGATATTCATTTTTTTATCTGACGATTCACAAAAGAAAAATGTGACGAAAATTTCAAATGTTGCTTGATTATTTTCAGCAAATATGAAGTATAAAATTGAAACAGCTGAAAATGTGTCACACGGTATCATATGGAATTATCAATATGATCAGTTGAAGCTTGGTGTCGTATACAAACCTGGGAGCTATGAATTGCAATTGCTAAAGAAAAGGCGACAAGTCTCAGATACAGACGAAGGTAATCTAGTACATCCCTCCTTTGAACAATTTTGTCCTATACTGGAGAAAATTCATTGTTTATTAAAGAAGGTGCCTACTGAATTGTTCATTTCAGATAACTCTATTGTTTGACTTAAAAATAATGAAAAACAAGTCGTTGCTGTTCAGTGTATAATTTAAAAGTCTAGTGACAAATATGTCATGCGTATTCAGGATGACCAACCTATAGTATAAAACAAGAATATATGTCCATAGTACACCATGCTCAACTCCCACTCATGCTTATCAATGCTAAGTGAACACCGAAATCTGGGTCAAAATCCTAATTTGGCATATATTTTAAATGTTCACATCATAATAAACACGTGTACTAATTTTGACTAAATTGACCACGACTTCATGGTAACCTTTCTTAAAACAAAACTTTAACCTAATACAAGAAGGATGAACCTCTGAAGGGACAGATGGGTGGACAGTGGATGTGATACACTAAGGATGAACCTCTGAAGGGACAGACGGGTGGACAGTGGATGTGATACACTAAGGATGAACCTCTGAAGGGACAGACGGGTGGACAGTGGATGTGATACACTAAGGATGAACCTCTGAAGGGACAAACGGGTGGACAGTGGATGCAACAAATTAGAAAATAATATGCTCCTTACTACATGTATCATTGGTTTTGCATAAAAAAATCAAGTGATAAACATTAAGTGAACAAGCTCATATATACCCACACCCCAATATAAAGAGCAACAACTTAAATTGACCTGATGGTCTAGTTTTCTCTCTCTTTACTTTGATATATCATTCTTTTCAGTTATAAATTTAGACAGTACTTTTGTGTTACAGAAATCTATTTCGAGTAACTTTGACCTTTTGACCATACACTAGTGTCTTATCAATCAATAAGGACCATCCTCGTATTTTATTTGACCATATGTCCAAGTTAGTTTGCAATCTTGGATTCAGCATCTGGGAACCACTTTTTTGCACAAATTTTAGTACATTTATAGAAGCTAAGACCTTGACCTTTGACCTAGTGACCCAAAAATTAATATGAATGTTCCCTTCATTACATGTGACCAGGTATCTAAATAAGGATGCAATCCAATGTACAGTATTTGATTTATCATCCGGAAACCACTTTCTGCACAATTCCACAGCCTTTGATGTAGTTACCTGAAAATCAATTAGTGTTCTTCCTCTAATTATATGTGACAATTCGTCTTAGTATGGTTGTAGTCCAAAATGTATTGATTTAGAATCCAGAAAAGTTTTTTCTGCATAAATTGCAGTATATTTATTCACTTTTACCCTGACCTTGGACTTAGTAACCTAAATTAAATGGGGATCTACCTCTTATTGTATGCGACCATTTATTCAAGTAAGGTTGCAATCTGATTTTAAGTTTAAGAGTTAGCATTCAGAAATAAAAAAAAGGACGATGGACTGATAGGTCCAAAACTACATCCCCCTGCTATGAATGAAGAAGCCATGGGGTATGAAAATGTGAAAAAAAGGATGAAGTTTAACCGAGACACTTTATAAGCTATATGGCAGATTCCACACCTTTATGCACGTTGCAAAGTAGTTGAGGTAAGGGTCCTAGTTTGCCCCCAATAGTGTACATTATTTCAAGAGGAAAGTATTTAAAGTAGATGCATATAAACATGCAAGAAAATTACAGAAAATGTTTTGTCATGTTATTTTTTACTGAGCGTCAACATTAATTTTTCAACCCAAATAGGCCACAGCTTAGAGATTTTGGTTACAGTTGACAAAACCTTTTGGATTTCAATTGCATTTATGCCCAGGAATACAAGATTAACTAAATGTTTATAAACAAGAGTGCACACACTAAAAAGTCTTGCCTGCTTTACTGATCACGACTGAATTTATGTTGAAAGTCAAGATAAAAGGTTTTACAGCAAGAAATACATAAATTCAACAGTAACATTGATCCATATAAATAAGGTCAAGATCGATATCAGATAAACCAATAGACTTACCTGTACACCTTATAATCATTGAATACAACAAATACAATGTATTGTTAAGCTATTGCTTATAGTATCTGAGAAAGACTTAACAATAAAAACTTAGCATTGACCAATGAACCAGGAAAATTAATTCAAGGTCAGATGAACCCAGCCTGATCCATGAAATGAGGTCCAGGTCAGGTGAACCCTGTCTGGTGGACATGCAAACCTTGCAAGGATCTCATATACCAAATATAGTTATTAATTTGAGAAAATAATGAGACAACAAAAACCCAGCTTTTTTAAGCAGTTGCTGAACTATGAAAATGAGGTCATGTGAGTAAGAATCAAGAAACAGTGGTGGATACTAAAATGAGAAAGGACAAACAAAATGAACAAACAGATGGACTCTTCCATGACTATCTACCCTCTGCTTCAGAAACCATATAGTATAAAATATCGAAGTTGACTTTATATAATGTATATTCACTTCTCATCAGTTGTACTCAAAACACTGATATTGAATCCCAAGTAACACCATGTTCACAACTTTGGCAGGTAGGAGTAAAAAAGAATAATAAAATATTTTAAAATTTATTTCTTTTATATAGAAATAATCCCATCATTTTCTATATAACATACTAAACAATTCATATTCATTATTCCTATGACATATGGAAAACAACCCAACATATAAAAAAAGGGGCTCCATTGTTTTTATAAATGCACAATTTTACTGTCAAACACTGACCAATATTTTGCATATTAAAATGATGTAAATGTAATGAAATCACAAAATATGAAAATAGACCTTCATATGAAAAATGCATTGCAAATGCTGATTCAATGAGTTTATATCAAAAGGTTTAAAATAAATTAACTATAAGTCCCTCTCATATCTTCTCGCTTTTTGGTGTCAGATATATATGTTTACAAAAATGTATTTCTATTTTGTCTAAACTTATATTCATTATGTTCATATATTTACCCATGTGACTCATTTATTTTTGTTTGCTTAGCGCCCATTGGTAAATACTTCATGAATTTCAGGATGGATACACATGACTGAATGAACAAGAATATTTTGGAATGTAAAATTGAATTCTGTATTATGATTTCATGTTAGCAAGATGGCACAACCATATATATATATATATATATTTATTTATTGCACAGTAATGGAATTTTTTTTAATACTTCTTACACATTTAAACTTTCACTCTGTCTTGTCCACTAGAAAGGAGTTAATGCCCTTGTCTCATTACAAGTTGTGCAGGATGAACAAGTAAAAAGTCTCAAGATAATTTTGTATCAACAGCTGAAGTACTCTAGATTAATATTCGTTAATTAGGAACATCACTCCCATATCCCAATGCAAGGACTTCAGCCATGTCATACACAGAGATCAGTTTATTTACATCTACACAGAAATTCAGGCTTTGCCAATATTTAGACAGAAAACGTACATTAAACTATAAATAATTGTAATTGATACACATAAATTAAACAATCAAAATTACATATTGTATCACAGCCTACAAACTTTCCAAATAAACATTACATAAACATGATTTAAAATGAATTATAAGATAAAACTATTACTTAAAATTACAATTTTCATCAAATAAAAAGATTGCACGAGACATTTAGTATAAGTTATAAATGCAATTCAAATAGAAAATAAAATTGATCAGCATTTATTGATTTAAGTATTGAAATTAAAATTAAATAAGCTATGAAAGTTAATGAAACAGAAAAATTTTCAAATAAGAACAGAAAAAACAATGAACATGCCTTGACCTTTGCCCTAAAAATGGACATTTTAGCTGTATCGCTGTAAATGCAATTATGGTTTTGATTTTTTGTTTCCAATTATAACTTTTACATAAAAAAATATGAGATTCTTCTTGAATGGTCTTACATTATGGTTGATACTGTAAAAATATGCAATCTAAAAATTTGTCATAAAAATGTTTTAAGTATTTTTGATATATGACAATAAAAATGTATGAACATGATTTTCAATTTGATTTTAAGAAACAAAAAATAAAAGTACCAAAATATACATAGAATTAAAACAGGTAAAACAATACAAAAAGACATCATTACGTTGAACTTATTTAAGAACACAGTTTGACTATTACAAATTAAAAAAATTTCCTAACAATATATATATAGTCCCTGAGATCAGATCACAACATTGAGTCTACTCTTTTTTCCAAATTATGTAACTCTTCCATTATTTCTGGAGGCAAGTCTTCAGCAACCTGCTGATCAAAATATTTCCTTACATCAACAACCTCTTGTTGCCACATTTCCTTTGGTAAACTGAATAGTCCTTCCATGTCTACCTTTTCTTTCAGTCCCTCTAGATTGATTGAACCTGGTGTGGGAACCATGCCTACTGCAGATTTCTGGGCACAGTCTTCACCATCGGTTCTACGGAAGATCCAATCTAGAACACGAGAGTTTTCACCAAACCCTGGCCACATAAAGCTGCCCTGATCATCTTTTCTAAACCAATTTACATGATAGATCTTGGGCAAGTTAAGTCCTGGTTTTTCCTGGAAACTTAACCAATGTTTCAAGTAATGTCCAAAATTGTAACCAAAGAATGGTCTCATGGCAAATGGGTCGTTCATAATCACTTTTCCTGGAATTAGAAAAACATACCGTCTAAATTCAGGGACCAATGAAATCTGTTGAAATATTACCTGGTACATGTACTTATTTCATAATCTATTATACATTTTTTTATATCTAATTTCAAATATGCACATTTTTCACTAAGTTCACAAACCTCCTTTTTTTTTGTTTGACCAAGGACTAACTGACTGCAGACTATTTTAATTTCTTTTTTTCTTTTTAATAGATAAAATGATTTGCTTTTTTTATTTTTTGCTGGTTCATTTCGGTCAATCAAATGAGGTCACTTTAATAAAAATCCAAGTTGGTCCTCCGTCTTTTTTTTGCCCATAAATCCATGATCACTCCACACTAGTAATTATCAGAAATTATCATTAACAATAAAAGAAGAGTTATCTACCTTTGTGTTCTGCAGCTGCTGTGGCCTCTGACCTCATGGATGCTCCCATGAAGACACCATGCTGCCAATTAAATGCCTCATAGATTAAAGGAACACCTGCTGGTCTCCTGCCACCAAATATTATGGCATCTATTGGGACACCTTCTGGACTTTCCCATTCTGGGTCCATGATTGGACACTGGCTAGCTGGGGTACAGAATCTAGACGATATAATTCAGCATGTTAGAAAATGTTTTCAGCAAGATTTTTTCAACAAGATTATTTCAGTAATTAACAAAAAATAAAAAATTTCCTGTGTCAATGTTTACTGTTTGGAAATTATTTTATAAAACAATTCATATTGTAAAAAAAGTTTAACTGTGGAAATTCAAGTTTATAATTAAACTATAGAGGATACATATTTATTTGCCACCACAATTTTAATGAATACATATTCACAAGTCCCTAATCACTTGAATACTTCAACTATTCATTAACACTTAAGCATCCAACTATCTATATAGAAATTGACATAAATATCAACATACCTGGAGTTAGGATGAGCAGCTGGTTTGCCACTGTCCTTGGTCCAGTTTCTGACCTTGAGCCATGATGTGATTGGTGTACTCATATCTCTCTCTTTCTCTAAACCTTCCCAGTATACATCTCCATCTTCTGTTTCTGCTACATTGGTAAATATTGTGTTCTTCTTGATGGTTTCCATGGCATTAGGATTGGTACTCATTGATGTTCCTATAATGTAAGTTTTATTGGTCAACATAAAGTAGGTAAAATTATTTTAAAATCACTGTACGTTTCACATATGATGATATTGAAAAATAATGGGCCATTTTTCTAAAAGAAAGGCATTAGAACATATTTAAACCAAGTAAATAAAATATTCTTAACATTTTTTTGTTATACTCGAGTTGTCTCATATTCACACACTCAAGATATCAAGAGTTCTCCAGCATAGATCAATACAATTGTAATGTAACCTAAAAATCTTTAAACCAACAGCTGGATTACTTTATAAGTACAGTTTATATAATGTATTTATCATACCTGGTGCTACACCAAAAAATCCAAACTCTGGATTGATTGCACGAAGTTGTCCATTTTTGTCAAATTTCATCCATGCAATATCATCTCCCACACATGTGACCTTGTATCCAGGTAACGTTGGATTCATCATGGCTAAGTTTGTTTTACCGCAGGCACTGGGGAATGCTGCTGCTATGTACTTTTTCTTTCCTTGAGAATTTTCTAAACCAAGAATCTGAAATTAAGCAAAATCATTTTTTTGTGAATTATTTGTATAAATGTATTTGAACAAATTTTACCTGTTTTGATAACAGGTTTAAAGCAATATTTCTTGATCTACCCCTTTTCAACAAAAAAACTCTACTGAAATTTTCTCCATGGAACAATTTCATTTTACACAAATTAAAAAGAACAATTGACAGTTTTCAGATATTTTTCAAAACTGATGCTACATTAATGACTTGAAAGATTCTAATGAAACTACAAAACTTACCAACATGTGTTCTGCAAACCACCCTTCTCTTTTGGCTAAGATAGAGCCAAGCCGTAATGCAAAACATTTCTTTCCCAACAATGAGTTTCCTCCATATCCACTGCCATAGGAACATATTTCATTTCGATCTGGTATATGCGATATTATGGTTTCTTTAGGATTACATGGCCAATTATTATTTAACGGTTCTGTAAAAAACCCAATTTGAAGTAAATAAAAATTCTGGTAATAACATTTTATGTATAATTAATTCTGCTTTTAAATATGTTATTTATTTTGTCTTACTAAGAGTTCAATGGAAAATGAATGCAAAAAATCAATGTAAATAATAATTGAGACGTTCTTCAATAAAACTAAGAGTTATCTCCCATATAAACCAGTGTTTCAAATCTCTCATTTAAAGGTTTCTGTGTCAATGATTCCCAAAAGTGGAGATGAAAGTTATGTAATTATTCTAAAATGGCAAGTCAAGTTAGACTGTGTAACTGGAACATTTAGTAAATTAATGTAAACTTACTGAGAGCGATTTTGTAGCAAGGACGATTATATCTGACGACATGTATGCATGAATGTGAAGAATGAGTAATACAATCAATTCATTAGTTAGTATGTACCTTTTAGTGGAAGTGGTCTACCAACAGAGTGAAGACATTTAATAAAGTCTCCTTCTCCAAGTGTCTCCAGAACATTACCACCCATTCTTGTCATTATTCTCATACTGGCCACTACATAGGGAGAATCTGTTATCTCAATACCAATCTTAGATAGTGGTGAACCAACAGGACCCATACTAAATGGTATAATATACATAGTTCGTCCTGTTGAGGAAAAAAATAACATAAAGTAAAAGAATAAAAAAATAAAAGCGTTAATATTTTGTATCACTTCTGTTACACAGTTCCTTTTATGAAACTTTTGACATTTTTCTCTGAGGATTAATAGACTTGCAGAGATTTTTTCAAATCAATCTTTTCAAAAAAGGGGAAAATTACACAATCTAAGTTGGTAAACAATAGAAACTCTTGTATTTTGTTTGAACACATGTACAGGATTATTGAAAATCAAATGTTTCTCCTTTTAAATTGCAGTAATTTTATATTATCTTGTAACAGATGGTATAAGGTAAATCAGATCTCTTTTTGAAACAATGTAATTTTAATCAATTTAATCATTTTTTTTAAATAGTCAGACAATGATTTATATTATTATTACCTAAATTGCTCATTGAAATTTCTTTATATATTAATATAAGTTATATGGTTCGCTACTGACCCCCTACAGATCCATAGAGGGTTAGTAAAATCAATAGGGGGTGAGGCCGGAGGGGTCAGTAGTTAACCGTATAACGAAATTATCGCACACGATACTTTTTCTGCAGCGTTTTGTAGAAAAATAAACAATGAAATACAAAAACATCAATAGATGACGTCACCATTTACAGTAGACGTGATGTCATGAACCCACTATGGAATTTACTAACCCCCTACGGATCCATAGGGGGTCACCACGTGACAGCGTTAAACCAATCACAACGTGATAATTTACCCGCGGTGCGATAATTATTGATATTTTTTATCATACTTGTAGTAATAGTTACAGTGTTCATAAGAACTGTATTTACTATGTGTATTACCTTTCATACAACCTGGAAACCTCATATTAAGTTCTGTTTCTAGATCATCTGGATCAATCCAATGTCCCAGTTGACCTACAGCACCATTTTTAGGGATAGGTATCGTATCCTGCATTTTTTCTGTAGCTATGAAGGTCTTACTTTCCACACGAGCCACATCTCCTGGATCTGTCCTGGCTAACCAACTAAAATGTAAAATGAAACCTTGAGAGGTTGACTTGCCTGAAAAATCAAACAGAACATTCAAGGTTAATAATAGTGTTCATAGCTTCAATGTTTATCCATGCAGATTCCAAATTTAACCTTAGTAGTATGAAATAAACTTGTAAAGTTGAAATAAAATTGTCACACAAATATTTAAGTTATATTCTTAATTATTTCAGATGGATTATGATCTAAAAAGGAATTCATTTCAACAATCAGCGACTCTTTTCACAAAAAATCTTACGATTAAAATTGATCGCAAGTTATACTGAAATGTGTATGACTTACGAGTATTTTTACTCTTAAGATTTTTTGTGAAAAGAGCCGCTGGCTCACACTTCTAAGTGGTAAAGTCACCTTTTCTTCCATCACTTCATTTTCTGGGCCTTAAAAGTGAAATCAAGTTGCCCTTGAATAAAACAGTCCCCTTTACATACAATCTTGCATTTTGATGTAAAAAACAAGAATTAAAAGACAGAAAGGATTTATTTTTATAAAATGAAGTGAAACTGTGATGTAGTACTAGAATAATTTTTTATCAGTTCAAGGGAACACTGTTTTGTGCAACTTCAAGCAAATACTGTTATACTGATTTTTAACAAAATGATGAAATTAGTATATTATCTAGTTATCATAACGGTCATTAATTATTAATGTCAGACTCATTATTTGCAGGCCTAGGATAATCAACCTTCAAAGGATAGTGTATGTGCCATAGATTGTTTACTTGAATTGCCAGGTATATTTGCAATTTGCAAAAACTAAGTACCAGTCAGAGACTGACTGTAAGCTGTACTTATACAATACTATAAAGATAAAGAGATGTGGTATGATTGCTAATGAGACAACTATCTATCAGAGTTCAAATGAAGTGGATATATGCAATTACAGGAAACCGAACAGCCTTCAGCAATGAGATAAACCCATACAATATAGTCAGCTATAATGGCCCCAACATGAAAGTTTAACCTTCCTTCTAACTAGTCAAGTACAGGCCTCAAAAGGACAGAAAACTAAGGCGTCCTAAATGAAAAATACACACTTCAAGGCACACTCAGTTACCAAAGCATATACATCAGTGCAAATGTACCTGTAGGTTTAAATTCATAACTTATGAAGTTTTCATAATTTAAAAAAATTTGTTATTAAATAAATGATCTTCAGTGATAACAAATGAGAATCAATAAACCAAGATAGAATCCTCATCTTATTTTAACTTATGATTGCTTAATCTCCTTTATTATTCTTTAGATATATGCAATAGGGTTACTATAGCATGTGTATAGTGTACGTATGTAAGACAAATGTATTATAAGGAATAAATCTTAGTTGGAGTTTCTATTTCCTGTCACAATATATTTGCATAATGTTCTATAAATCTTAGATGGGAGTTTCTTTTTTTTAACACTACATTTGCATGTATCACTGTTGGACTAACATTTGACTAAACATGTTTGACTATCCCTAATATCTGAAACATTATGTCTTACATGTATATAACCTACTTTTGTTCATTTGTAATCAATAAAGGTCAATGAACCTGTCTGTAGATATCTTATAGGGACCTTGTCATTCATACATTTGTACAAATCATCAGTCTACCATGTATCCAAGGTCAAATGGTTGTTCAAGGTCAATCTCATCAATTTCAAGGACTATTACATAATTTTGTTTCTGATTCTAATCTATGTTTGAATATTAAGGCTTCCTTAAATAAAATCAAATAGTTTCCAAACTAGATTAGTTATTGCCCATTATTGTGGATGTTCCATTAGCATTAAACAACAAAGAAATGCTATCAGCAAACACTTGTTTAGTGTGTCAGCAGAGGTATTTCACATAGAAAAGGACTGATTCTTCTTATTTGAAAAGATAACCACTTAAAAACTGATAAATAAGATAATTTAGGCTTTAACATCTATCATGGTACTTCACTAAGGCCCATAACTGAAATGTTGCAGTCTCTACTACTACTAGTGTGTGTTAAACCACCTTGAATACCCATGAGGGTCTTGCAGAGTCGGTGTGGTCTCAATGAGCTGCCTAGGCAACCAAAAAGAAGTTAATTGGAATAAATAAGAGCTAAGGAATAGCCATTCTCTTGACTATAGAATTATTTGATATTTGAGGCCTACCTATAAAATTTTTGTTTCATACAAAGGTTTAGTTAATACTCTTTATCTTGCTGTTGCTAAAATTTTCATTTTATTCTGTTTGCTTACCAGTTTTGTAACTTTGGAAGAGGTTTAATCATTCCATCTCTCTGTAAGATATATAACAATAATTCGTTTTCTTTATCTGACCCGTCACATATATGGACTGTCGATGGATTGCATAGTTTGATGTTCTCGTCCACGTAATTCCGCACTTTGTTTGGAAGTTTGTTCCACTTCCCATACAGTACATTTGGTACTGAAGCTACACCATTTTGTCTACTTATACATACTGGTTTGACAGCTTCTTTAAGAATTCTACAAGCAAACGAGGGACTGAAAATAGAAATTTGAAAAATTGCAAGTTTGGGTGGTAAAATTATTAAAATAGGCCTACGACTCTATGTGTCATTGCTAAAGAACATACTGTTCATGTCATTTTTTTGTAACTTTGTATAAATATGTCCTTGAAACCTGAAGCACACTTTTGTTACCTGTTTTCTTTTGCTCTTATGACATTTGTCCAACAACTAGAGCAATTTAATCTTCTTGTGTACTCCTTACTGATAACTTTAGATAGGTCAAATATATCTTATCTAATTTCTGAAAGCCTTTATAGTATATCTACCTTAAGCTTACTATATAGAACTGTTTTAGAAAGACAGCTCAGCATTTTAGACATAATTTTATTTTTATAAGAATTAGAATAGATATATAGGCTTGCATACACAAAAAAGAGGATGTTATAAAATCATATTGACAAGTATTTCTCTTCGTATATTGCCAAATCATATAAGTATCATTGTGAAAATCTGAAGACTTTTATATATATATTTAAATAGATGGACAAACTGCATCTGACTACAGTACACACTTTTCTGTATTCTACTGAGTATCAAACTTATTTCACTATATCATAATATAATGTACACAATAATAAACCCACCTTTTTAATTATAAAATTATCTTCAGAATACATTAACCATATAAGTTTTGAATTATTTGGGAGAATTTTTAAATTAATGAAGTTAATACTGTTAATATCATGGATATAGCTTGAGCTTTTATTTTCAAAAGTAGGACACTGAAGAAGAAAATGAATTTCATCAGAAGCCCAAGGGCCTATGATCCTTGCCAGTAAAATTTTACTGAAAAACATCCTGACAAGCCATATACATTTTAAGACATTGTACGAAAGTCTTAATTTTAGGCCAGTCCGTCAAAAAGTGTTTGCAAAGACAATCTCTTAATATCGCAGTCCAACAAGTGAGATGTAAATTTTTGTAAAATCTGGAACCGGTAACTAGCACAAGTTGATCAGCTGTTTTTTTAATTCTTTACACACCATAATTTTTTGTTCACAATATTTCTGTTTACATTTAAACTATTCAAAATCATCATAAAATCTTACTACCCAATACTTTTCCGTAAAACATAAGTATAAACCCCATCAACAAATAATTTCCGCAATTAAAATGCGAACGTGCGTACCGGCGAACAGCTGATGAACACGATAGGAATGGAAAATTCCACAACTACAAAAGTTATAATCAATTTACCATTAACAAAGCCATTGACAATAGATTGCTTCCAGAAATTTCATTTAAATATGTTTTGTTTAAGTGCATGACATCCATATTTACCTAAAATATCTGTTAAATCGCATCATTTTGTTAAAATCCTGTATACATATCAACTATCTTCCATTTGTGAGAAAATTGCGGAATGATATGTCATACACGTTACCGACATGCGGACGTGTTTTTGAAAAAGTGACACGGTGTAAGCTGATTTCCAACAAAGAACTATTCAAGAACACTAACGTATTAACTGAAATAATCTTTAAATGGAAATGAACGCTAAAGCTCAAGTAATCATTTTTCAACAACTGCGCACTATTTTCTGGGGGTGTGTGAGATTTCTCAAATATGATTGGCTTAGGCAGACAAGCCTCCAAATGGAATCAGCTGATCGCTATCGACTTTTTTTCTTACGTCATCCCAAACAAATCCTTGTGTCAACCCTTTCTAAGAAATCAAATATCATCGATAAACTAACGAACCCAACGAAACATAAAAAAACTTTTACAAAAATATGAAGTAGACGGTAGAGAAGACTGAGTGTCAATATAACTATACAAAATTACACAATATGTCAAGCTTTTAATCAACCCAATTTTATACAGACTGTCAAATATCTGTCATTGAAACTAAGTGATTCCCTAAATGACAAACACCACATCAGACAAGGTATCAGCCGACTAAATACCACCATATAAGATAAGATAAGATATATGTATTCCAAATAAAGGGCCCACGACGAGCAAGTAATTATTACAATGATTTTTATAATTGACACAAATAATTTTGACAATCATATATAAATCTGAATATAATCAACTAAATTTTAAGATCTCTAGCCACAGCAAGCCCAGAGTCATAAGCAAAAAAAAAAGAGCAGTAATAAAACAGATTATATACATAATTAAATTTTTTCCCTGATGTTTTGGAAAGAATATAAACGGATAGTAACACAATAAAAGTGACATCCCTTTTTTGTCGCATGGAAGGGATCCTTAACTGGACTGCTGTTACAAATGAATATGTGAACATGTTCATTGAGGTCGCCGACTTACAGAATGTATAAACTGATAGGGAAATATAATATTCAAAATCTGAATTAAACATAAAGCTCATGCTAAAATATAAACTTGAGAATTACACGAAAATTGTAACACTTGATTGGGAATTAAAAGAACTACCGAATAAGATAAAATTATATAAATACTTTATATTGAAGTTAAATAAAATTTTCGACAAATTAAGTCTTCAGCAAAACGTTCAACGGTAAAAACCAACCCTTTAAAATAATTATAAAAATACTTACTCAGTTCGCTTTGAATGTTCAAGTAAAACCTTTGACTGTATGGTTAAGGATCCCATGATTGAATATAAGGAATATCTGCGTCTTGTTGTTTCTTTTGAAGAGTTGGACAAATCGCCTGTTCATTTGACGTTCAGTCTGATACCATAGAGAGCCTTATTGGTTTGTAATGACGCTGATGAAATCACTTTTTATATGAGAAAAAATAACTGTTGTGTGAAGGTCAATATCGATTTACGCTGGAGGTGTGCGTAAAACAAGCAATTTGATTGGATGTCAGGAGCAACACCTACGAAAGCGATCAGCTGATTATTGCATCATCAAAATTTTGCCGGATATCTCTGTGTTAACGGATTTTAAACAGTTAGTTTACTATTGAATTAAATAGAAAATCAATTATAACCGGGAAAAAAAACACTTACCTCCCAAGTTCCGATTCTCCATGAAGAAGTTTGCCTTCTAAATGTAAAGATCCCATAATTATTCAGGCCTTGTTGAAATACTTGACTTCTGTACAGTACTTGCAACTTGCTCATCGGATTCACACTGTTCGGAGGCAATATGATATTCAAAATATCTTACACAGAATGATTCTTTATACAACTCGAAAATTAATTATATGCCAGTTCTCTCCTCCATTTCCAATCATTTTTCCCCGTTCTATTTTTATTCAAGCTTCGGTGAAGGTCATAACGCAAAAGCGTAATATTGGTAATGGAAAAATATATTTGTAAGGTAGACTGTCTCTGGCAAGGTGCACGCTTAACAAAATATCAAGATTATTCCAGTTAGTACCAGTGACCGGGGACCAAAGTCCAGGTCACTGACCTTTCACAACACATTCATTCTGACTAAGAGGTTTCATTATTCATAATCATCAAATTTATTCATATTGTTGTGTGATGTGTAGAAAACTTCCGTCCTGTTAATAATTCTATTAGTATGCAATTTTAAGGGGGTGACTGCAGATGTAATACTCCAGTTCAAGTGTAATTACTCATTAGTTGTAACTGATACTTTAATTTGGACTTTGAAATCTATTCACCTTTTAGGCGCATCGATCAATTCAAAACTTCTAAGAATCCCAAAAAGGAGTTTCATATACAATGTTTAAATATAGGTTTTATTGAAAAGACTTTTGATTAAATTCATAAATTGTTTAACCTAAATGGACTGAATGGTCCTCCCTTTTGAAATTCACAGTGTTTTAATCAAATTATATGTAAATAAAATCAATAAAGTCTTTTTCTTCCTTCGAAGTCAACGAAGGGGTTGAATTTGTTCAAAGATGCTAGTAAGTGTTACCGGATAGTTTGTTGCTTATTTTGCCACACAATTAGTTTAGTTTTGGAGAATAGGCATTATAGCTAGACATTCTAGCTAGTATATAAGTATGTGGAAGCTTTGCATATTGTTATTTACACCGGTATATTTCAAAGATCAACAACATGACGGGGAAAAAATCCATAACATACAAATTAAAATCTTGATTAACATTTAACATTGTGGAATTAAACAATAAAATAATTTTTTATATATATAATTCCACGATTAACCGAATGCGTGGATTATGATTTATGGATGGAAAAGAGCTAAGCTAGGAACCTTTGAAGTTTCAATCTTATACTTCAGTCCATGCTAGCCGTAGGACTATTTATATATTATCAGTGTCACAACACTAATGCCTAAATGGCAATTAATATATATTTTTTGTTGCGCAATATATGAAACATTACGACCGAATGTCAGATACATTTATTTTATCTCAACGATAAATCTGGGATTATTTAAAATCTATAGTATTCTCAAAATAAATAAACAATAATTTAAAAAAAAAGCAAAGTAACCCCACGATAATTCATTCGTTGAAAATTGTTGGATGATTGAATGTACTCGGTTGAACCAAGGGTTTTTCTATTTACAAACAATGTAATTTAACAGTGACCATGAACTTGATTATGTCCTATTTTATGGACCAAAACTATCTGACGTAATCAATCAAACAAAGTCCTGTTGTACAGACACGTTTAACAGAAATTGATTTTCTTAATTCAGTTTTTCAATTGAATATTAAAAAAAAGTGGAAAAAGATCCATTTTAATAAATTTGATCTGGAGGTGTGAGAAATACTTAATTTTGATTGGATGACAAGGACAACACCCTTAAAACAGCTGATTGTATGATGAAATGTTGATCGTGGCAACCGCTGTGAGATGTAGCGATCTTTAAAAATACCTTGTCCATGCACGAGTCCTGATTTTAAGCTTGACTTAATTTTGTGAATTGACGAATAAATTATAAACACAATCACAACATGCGACGTACACATGTACGTATACATATTTTCTAGATTTTTCCACCATTTAATAATAAATAAAAGGAAACTTTTGCGTAAAAATAAACATATTTACCACGTTTATACATCTTTGCGTTATTTTCACCTTAAAGGTCAATGTAAACACGGTCAATGTTCTATTTAACTTGTTTATCGATCAACGGAGATGGCGAATTTATATCTGTTGTGTACAAATTGTATATATACATGCAGATTATGATTTTTCCTCTTAACTTGAATTTTTCTTACCACTGTCATATTTACATGACTACATAATACTGATTCATATACCAAAATATATTTTGGGGAATTAGAATCAAGTCCAATCTAGTGTTTTTTTTTTCATAACAATGCGGCTATTTGGGAGTAAACCATCAAACTGGTTAAATATTGTATCACCTGCATGGTGAGATTCGGAAATACTAGGTAGCAAACAACTGTGGCTAATACAGTTATATGTTGATCTCAGCTAATAACTGGGACTAATACAGTTGTATATTGGTCTTTGCTAATAACTTGAACTAATACAGTTATATAATGGTCCCAGCTAATAACTGGGAATAACACAGATGTATAAAGAATGTTCCCAGCTAATAACTGGGACTAATACAGTTATATATTGGTCCCAGCTAATAACTGGGAATAATGCAGTTAGATAATGTTCCCAGCTAATAACTTGGACTAATACAGTTATATATTGGTCCCAGCTAATAACTGGGACTAATACAGTTATATGTTGGTCCCAGCTAATAACTGAGCCTAATACAGTTCTATATTGGTTTCGTTAATACCATTAAATAAGAACAACTCTAAACTATATTTTTATTGAAACAAAAAAGAAAATTGTTAAGAAAAAAACGATAGAATAAGACTACAATCAAAATTTGTGCAAGTTTATGATTTTTTTTAAAAAATTTTATTCTACACCCAGCTGACCATTGTCCCAGGTTAGGGGGAGGGTTGAGCGCTCACAAACATGTTTAACCCCGCCACATTCTTTATGTGCCTGTCCCAAGTCAGGCGCCTGCAGTTTAGTGGTTGTCGTTGGTTCATGTCTGTCATATTTTTTTCGTAAATTGTTTTGTTATAAATAAGTTTTCTCAATTATTTCATATTTTTCATGTCGGGGCCTTTTATAGCCTACTATACGGTATGATTTTTTCTCATTGTTGAAGGCCGGACGATTGCCAATTATTGCTTACATCCACTTCATATGAACTTTGGTGGATAACTGTCTCATTGGCAATCATACCACATCTCCTTATCCTTATATTGTAATGGCTTACAAAGCAAGTCTTTTATGGGGAAATTTCATTTTGACAAATTACAAGTTAGATCCAGACAGTGCTGAGAATGAGGGGTTGTTTTTTCTTCAGAAATATATCTGTAAAGTCTGATTATCATTAGTTATAGGGAACTTTCCAACTCAAATTCCCATTCTTCCTCCTCAATGGAACGACTGATTAAGGTTGGCAAAAGTTTGACTAAATCTCCCTTACGAATAATATATATATATAAAATTGAGAATGGAAACGGGGAATGTATAAAAAAAAAACAACAACCCGACCAAAGAGCAGAAAACAGCTCAAGGCCACCTTCGGTCTTCAAAGTAGCAAGAAAATCCCGCACCGGAGGCGGGCTACAGCTGGCCCCTAAACAATAATGTATACTAGTTCAACGAAATGGACGCCCCGCTAAACTCCGAAACATATAATTGATCGAAAAATAAAAAAAAGAC